CTGTGTTTTTAAAAGATAAACTATGGTTTTTTTGAGTTTCAAAGGTGAAAAACATGGGACGGTTTTTTATTGTGTTCTGTCAATCTGGTTTCCAATTTTCTTCCTGTTTCTCCTATGTAGAATTCTGGGCAGCTATTGCATGTTATTTTGTAAATGACATTGGTATTGTGTGATTCTAAATACTTTTTGTTTAGTAACAATTTTAATTTAGGGCCGGGTTTTTGTGAGAATTTGACGTTGACAGGAATATTGTGTTTACTGGCTAGTTTAGTCCAAGTGTGGATAATTCTTGAACTGGTTTCAGGAACAAAATGTAAACTGCAGTGTAATGTACTGTTGTTGGGTTTGTTAGTGTCAATCTTGTTCGTGAGTTGAGTTTGTTGTGGGGAATGTTGGAGAGTTTTTCAACTATAGCTGGTGGGAATTTATTGGTGTGAATAAAGGAATGGTTTATGTGGTTAATTTCTTCATTTATGTAGTCCGTTGAACGGAGTCTTATGGCTGTGTTTATGAGGTTTTTAAGTGTATTGATTTTTTGTGTGGTGTCATGTGCGGAATTTCGGGGGATGTAGAGACCAGTGTGTGTGTGTTTGCGGTGAATCTTTGTTTTTAACTGCGTGTCAGATCTAATAATTTTGAAGTTAAGAAAGGATAACTGTTTATTGTTTTCGTGTTCGATGGTAAATTTGATGTTGGGATGAATGGAACTTATGTGTTTAAAGAAGGTTAGATAGAAAGTTAGAACACACACATGTTTTCACCATTGCAACTCAAAAAACCATAGTTTATCTATTAAAAACGCAGTCATTTTAAACAAAGAACCCAACATAAACAAACGAAAAATCAAGGAATCCATCTTAATTGAACAAAACAACCCTACTCCAAACCAACACCCCCGGGGTGCCTAGATACCTCTTCTAAGTTTCACAACAGTTCCAGTCATGTGACTTCTTTGTTCAATACTGAATATATATATTAATCCGTATCAGTGTAAATTACTTGTACCTGATGATGACAAAACCTTGTCGAAACGTTGTACATTTGCTGTTATGTTAAACTTATATTAAAGTTTTTCTTCATTACCCATTCAAGCCGTCTCCAGCCATTATTACTCAATATAGTTAATTTCGAAAGCAACAGTGTATGATATTAAAGATTGACATCAAATATGAGATGTATCGAGTAATGTGTTACTCTTGTGTCCTTTACCAGCCAGTTTTAAATAAGAGATCAAAATACCTTTTATTATATTATCATGTGTGAAACTAAGACCAAGCTATCTTATTGTTCAGTAATTGGAAGACACGTTCAAAAACTTTAAAGGATTTTAGAGTGATGCTTATATTTGTTAGAAATCAATACTGTGACGGTAATATAACAATATATGTTGTGTAAACGTTAGATATCAACATTGTAACGGTAATATAATAATATATGTTGTTTAAACGTTAGATATCAACACGGTAACGGTACTATAACAATATATGTTGTGTAAACGTTAGATATCAACATTGTAATGGTACTATAATAATATATGTTGTGTAAACGTTAGGTATCAATACTGTAATGGTACTCTAATAATATATGTTGTGAAAACGTTAAATATCAACACTTTAATGGTACTATAATAATGTATGTTGTTTAAACGTTAGATATCAACACGGTAACGGTACTATAATAATAATATAAGTTGTGTAAACGTTAGGTATTAACACTGTAACGGTACTATAATAATATATCTTGTGTAAACGTTAGGTATCAACACTGTAACGGTATTATAACAATATATGTTGTGTAAACGTTAGGTATCAACACTTTAATGGTACTATAATAATATATGTTGTTTAAACGTTAGATATCAACACGGTAACGGTACTATAATAATAATATAAGTTGTGTAAACGTTAGGTATTAACACTGTAACGGTACTATAATAATATATCTTCTGTAAACGTTAGGTATCAACACTGTAACGGTATTATAATAATATATGTTGTGTAAACGTTAGGTATCAACACTGTAACGGTACTAGGATAATAATATGTGTTGTGTAACCGTTAGGTATCAACACTATAACGGTATTATAACAATGTATGTTGTGTAAACGT